CTTTAAATTCAAATCCTTAGTAAGTTTCTATTTTTTTTTTTTGTGAATTATGAAATGTTCATTATACCACATATAAGTTATACACATTGTAGAATGCCTTTAGGTGAAAAGTATAGAATTTGTGTCATCTGTTGGGGCTTTGAAGACAGAAAGAAAGATTGCTATAAAAAACTACCAAGAAAACATGACCATGGGAAGCTGGTTAGATAGAAGATCTTGCCATAGAGTCTTCACTCTCACTGCTCCCTGCTGCAGTCAATGAGTGTATAAAACAGTCTTATCCTCTTCCTGTTTATACTTTAGACTATAGTACTTCCCTTCTTTGTTCCCTTTTGATGTGAACAAATCTTCAGAATATTTTCATAACTTTCCTAGAAACCTTCTAACAAAAGTGAAGGCCTTATGGGAATAGCACCAACCACTAAGAAAGAGAAGCCAGCTCATCAACCCTCAAATGAAAATAACTTCATAGCTCAATCAGTGAGCTCAAATGTCTTAGAAAGAGAAGGCAAAGAATAGAGCCAATAGGTTTTGAGGCTGGACTGCCATTTGTGCACCCCAAAACCAAATGCTGGCTGTCACAACTTACGATCCAAAATTATTTAAGTTGAAAGTTCAGTTAGAACATTCTTTTTAAGTTACTTAACAAATACTCTTTTTACTTTAGATCAAGATGCAAATACAATAATGAAATAAGGATTACCATTTTAAACCATAAATTGTTTTAGCCAGTACCTATGATAACCTCTTCAGGAAAAAATATTAGATCAAGGGTCAATACGCTAGTCTTCAATATTACTGAATTTTTAAAATTACTATATTCAGTAGAAATAAGCTTGCTTGATTCGTTGAGTGAAGTAAAAGCAAAAAAGAAAAAGATTAGTTCACAAATCATTAATTTTTATTTTCATACAAGCAGTATAAAATATTTGTGAAAGGCAAATAGATTAACAGAGTAAAATCTGAAACTTGGGGGGGGACCTTAGATAAATCATTTGCTTAAAGTCACATAGCATATTACTAATAAAGCTTTTCAAGAGTCTCTGTATCTTGACTATGACAGTGCCCTTCTGTAAATACACCACTGTTCACTCCTATTGCAAACTCTCCATTAAGCCTCTGGGGAAGTTTTCAGACTTAGTACTGGCTTCCTGGGTTCCTTCTATTTTCTTCAGAAGTTCTCAGACAGTTTGTATAGTCACAAACTTTCTCTTTCCTTCCCTTTTTTGAAATGAAGCATATAGGCCCATGATATGTCAGGGTTTTACTGCCAGGCAGAAGAGGAGTGCAATAAAATTAACTGAGATGAAGATTATAAAAGTTCTAAGAATTAGTAAGCCATTTAAATGTCCTAATCCTCAACTGAATACACATAAGCTGTACACTAAATGGGATATTTCTCTCTTTAGCAGGGACAAATTATGTTAAATCTTTATGCTATATAATTTAATATAAAAATTTTAGGATTAAAGTATTTCAGAACAATTTATCACATCACTGGGGAGGTGTAAAGAACACTCACCTGGGAATTAGAAGACTTGGTCTAAATTTGGGTTTATAACCTTGATGAGTGACACTGGGTCAAATCACATAACCTCACTGAACCTCAATTTATTTATAAAATGATGGTGATACATTAGATCTATAAGTTTTATACCTAGTAAACTTGTAGATGTCGGTCCTAAAAATAGTTTAAAGGACCATGAGGTATGGGATGATGGTAGTGGGGTACTGAGGTGATAGGGCTTTGGGCCCATCATCCTGCTTTTACATAAGAACTGCATGCGTGCAAAACAAAACAAAACCAAAAAACCTGCATGTGTGCAAAAGGATCCCAAACACATTCTATTATCTGAAAATCCTTCTCAACTCTAAAATTTCATGACGCCCTGATTTCAAACCAGTAAGCACTTTGTTAACCAAAAAGCACATACTATATATTCTTAAAAACTTACATAATTCATTTCTTAAATCTTAAAATTATTTTCAAATGGTCCATTAATTTGGATTGACATCATTCTCATTTGAGAACCTCAATCATTAAAATTTCCTATTATAACATTAATAAACATGTAGCTCACTTCCAGTTTTCAGTGATCAGTGAAGTGAATCCAAGAAGAAAATGTGACAAAATAGTTCTATTCCTTCCAACTTTGATGGGATATCAGAATCTGAAATTATGCAACACTAGAAAAAGCAAATGAATTAGCTACTTTTCCAAACCCTGAAACTGTATCAATCATTTCCCCCAATGTACCAATTACAATTCAAGGTCACTTGAATCTTTAAACATAAAAATTTTTTCTAAACATGAAACATCAAGTAACAAACAACAGGAAATTCAGTTGATATTACAGACCTTTTTGCCCAAAAGTCTTACAATAGAATCTCTTCTGTAACTTAAACTCTGAACTTTGTCATTACATTTGATCTTTTTGTCTAAAGTGATGCCAATATTATAGTTTCTGATTTGGGGTGGGATGGGTGGAGAGAAACCCAAGGATGTTATAAGATACTTTATATTTATATTAATTTGTTAACACTGCATAGAAGTACTCCAAGTAGCACTCCCAAGATCTCCACAACATTCTAGCACAGCTACATATAAACTTTGAGGATAGGAAAAATAAATGTTATATATTTTAATTTAGCAATATGTGAAGCTGATTTTTAACAATCAAATCCTCACATATTTATCTGATCCTCAAATAAATAATATTAGGTAAATAGCTATATTTTATGGAATCACAACTTAATGGTTTATTTATTGAATAGATAGCTGTTAATCTTTCTTCAGCATATCAGAGTGGTTAAAAAATAAATAAAACAAACTATCCGAAATCCTTCCTCCTTTTAAAGAAGTGGAAAGGAATGAATTATATGCCAAACACTCTTTTACTAACTTCTACAACTTTTAATAACAAATCACTGACTCACCTATTTTTCATAATAACTCTACAAACTTTTTTTGAGATACATATCCTTTCTTATGATTTGTAAATTGAGGTAAAAAGTTAAGTAACTTGCCCCAAATTACACAACTAATAATTAGTGAAACTAGGGTACAAACAGGCACAGTTTGGCCCAAGTTTTAGCTCCCTGCCACTGCCACTACTACACAGCTTCCTAATCTACCTTACCATTGAATATAAGATCAAAACTGAAAAAAAAGGGGGGGGGATCAAAACTGAAAAAACAGCAGCTATTCAAAAGTGAATAAGGATCACCTTTACAACAATGATAAAGAAAACCTGAAATGTACAAATAATGTGTATTAAAGGGCATAACGTACTATACATGTAAATTAAAGTAATTACAAATCTGGCCAACAACTTCAATATAAATTCTAACCAAAGTATTACATATCCACACCCAACCAATAACCCTAAATTCTGAAACTAGGAATAGCAGAATTAGAAACTTCTTCCATAATAACCTCAAGCCCTGGTTTGATGACCTGTTGGAACTTGGGGGACTTGTCTCTTTTTGATTCTCTTCTGTACTCTGTTCGGAACTACTTTCTTTCTTCTGCTCTATTCCAAAATTCCAAATTTACTGATCACTGGCATCTTTTTTTTCTAGTAATTCATAGTTTTCCAGAGAATTTTAACGTGCATGGCTCAAATCACCTGCGGTATAAGCCAAAACTCAAAGTTTTTTGTTATTTTTTTTTAATGGTGGAATAAAACTTTAAATAGAAAAAGTCATTCTCAGCAATGAAATCCTAAGAAACAGAAAGACATTAAGTGTAACAATTTGAGATTAGTATAGTAACAAGTCACAACATTTCATCAACTTATGATAACATATGAAGGGTTCTAGGCAGATAAGCTGATGAGACAACTGACTAATAAAAAAACATCCTGAGTGTAAGATGTTCCACGTATTTAATCCTCTTGGCAAAAAGGAAGAACAGGGGGAAGACTGCAGGGAAGAAATGCACCAATGACATGCATGTGGAACAAGCGAGGGATGTTATGTAGGTTATGAGGCTAACACACTGGCATGTGAAAGGTTTCTGGGCGCGACCAGGTCGCTGCAGTACCAACAAGGTTGTATTTATTTACACTGTGTCGCCTGAAAGAGAGCCGGAAGGCTTCAAATGGACTATGAAGTTAGTAACATAGAGAAAGAAGGGTATACGCAACTGAACATCTGGATAGGCAGACCGTCGCCTGGGCCCCCAGGGCAGCTGACCGAATCCAGATCACTCCCTCTCCTACGTCCCTATTTGCGCACAAAGAACCGGCTGCTTTAGGTCTATCAGTTCTCCACCTCCTTCTACCCTAATTACTATGGCCTTAATTTCGGGATAACTAAGGGGAGAGGATGAGGCAGAAAAGGGAGGGGAGGAGCCGGGGAGGTCTGTGTCTGAGCTCGGGAGGAGGCTGACCTCCCAGGGCAGGCCTGGGCCGGAGCAGTAACTGAAAGCCTCCTATGGCAGCCGCGTCTCCGCGGCCGATTCCGAGCGCGGCTCCTCTTGCCTTCCGCCGCTGCGCCACCACGTCCGCCTAGCTCTCCACGGTCGCCAAAACCGCCCCCCCTCAGGCCCCTCACAACGACGCAGCCCGCACCCGGAGACCTCGCAGCAGAACCCCAGCTCATCTCGCCCTCAGTTTCGCTCGCCCTTCCAGGGGCTTCCCTCGCTTCTTCTACTTCCGAGCGCCCTGAAGCCCCCTACCCCAGGGCTCGCCTTTACTACCTGGATCCGCTTCTTGTGTCGCCTGCGTTCCGCCATGTTGGCCGCTCCGCCCGGTTCCCTCTGACGTGGAGCGAGGCGGGGGGGCGGTGTTGGAAACCTCGCGAGAGCGCGCGTGGGCCCGTTATGTAATCTGGCGGCTGGCTGCCGGCTGCTGGCGCCCGCCGCCCAGAGAGGGGGAAGGCTGGCGAGAACCTGGGACCCCGGCGGCCCCGTGGGCCCGGCGGGCCTTGTTGGCTCCTCCTTTCTCCTTTTCACTCCTTTTGTTGCGGGAACTGGAAATCTCTGGGACCAGAAGGAAACTGAGAAGTGGTTCAGAGAGCAGGAGGGCTGGAAAGTCTCCTTGGTTCTGAAACTCGACTGAGCATCTGAATCACCTGGGAAGTTAGTAAGATACAGATTCCCGGGCCCCACCCCGCTTTGGGTCGGTACGTTCGAGGTGGGGCTCTTCACAGTGAGTTTTACTAAGATCTACGGAATTCCGGACGTCTCTGTGGCAATTCCTATCTTTTCAACGAGTTCTAACCACCGAGACTTGACCCGTGTGTCAATTCTTTTAAACCCACTTAAGAGAGGGAAAACTACTGAGGGGCAGAGTTTTGAACTGATTTATCGAAGTCCCCACAGTTGGTAGACGGGCGGAGCCGGGACCTAAACCAATTTTCTTTTCCATACGAAGTACGGGGTAGGACGGCTCATCTTAAAGTTTGGATTCTCCATTCCATTTTCTACCTTGTTTCTCAAAAGTCACCTTTAGAATCCGAGAGTCGGAACCTAGGGAAGTACAAGCAACTAGTAAGATAAATGGGAGAAAGACTCTAAGAAGTTGGGACTGAAGAAGACTGCAGTCTACTTGAAGTCTGGTGAATTACTCATACTACTCCAGCTATTATTATTTTAGAGATTCTCAGGCTTACAACTTAATTTCATAATATACTGCATGAATGTTTATTTCTAGCTGTCTTCTGGATATTTCCACTGAATATCCAATTAAAAGTCACTATTTCCCCCACAAAACCTGCCCCTTTGGCTGTATTTTAAATCTCTGATAGTTTTATCACTGTTCACGCAGTTACTCATATTAGGAACCTTGGAGGTATTCCAACCATGCTTTGCTAATCGGTTACCAATTCAATTGATTCTACAGCTGAGATGTTTGGAATTCTTTCCTTCCTCATCATTCCTACTGCCATTTCTTTCTCAGGTCTTCAGCATTACTAACCTAGACTATTGTTGCAAAAGCCTCCTGATCATTTGCCTCAACTCTACCCTCTCTACTACACTCCAGCGGTCTTCCACTCCCCCACCCTATGGCTCCCCATTGTGTACAGCATTCATGATAGCTAATGTTCACACATTTAAGCCAAATTTACAGCTCAAACACTCTCCCCAGCACTCCATTTATATATTTGGTGGTAGTAGGGAGTTTCTCCTAGGCATTTCTTGCTCTGATTTCCTTTTGAATTTACAATCTCACTCCTGTCATTTGACTGTTCTTTCTTTCCCAAAGGAGGAGCATTGCCTCTTTTTTTCTGTCTTTTGCCAAAGCAAAACTTTTCTTTGCCCCTAAAGTCTGTCACTTCTCCCTAGGGCTCCCTCTGAAAGTTAGATTTCTCTTGATTCATAGAATAGAGGAATTGAGTTCTTCCCTCTTTACTGGATTCCTTTGGGCATATAGATTAAAAGACTCATTACCATGCTCTATTAAACAAAGGGCTCTCCACTTTGCATCCTGTCTCAGGAGCACTGATGAATAGATGGGGGTTTGAAAAATTCAGTTTCTTGGGTTCTACCATCTCAGTAATTGGAAGGGAATAGTATATAGTAGTATTCTCATTGATCAGACTTAAATAAACTGGAAACTGGTACATTCAGATTTTTGTTTTAAATAGCACTTTCTTTGGGTCCATTGTATATGTTAAACATATATGTATGACTAAATCAAAAAGAAAGAAATTATAGAGAAGTATAGCAAAATAAATGAACAGGCCTTTTGAGGGCATGGTTTTTATAAGAGCATTTAAAAATATGTAGTTAATAATGTCAGTGACTTAAAGTTGTTATTACAAAGAAAATAAATTTAATATAAATATATTTAATATAAAACAAAATACAATGAGCCCCATTTTATTTGAAAATTGACTTAATATTTATTTTTTTGGAAAAGCTATATGCACCTCTATGTTTATTGCAGCATTACTTGCAATAGCCAAATTATTATTATTTTTTACATATATTATTTGTTTCAGAGGTACATGTCTGTGAATCATCAGTCTTACACAATTCAGAGCACTCACCATAGCACATACCCTCTCCAATGTCCATCACCCAGCCACCCTATCCCTTCCACCCTCCTCCCCTCCGGCAACTCTCAGTTTGTTTTCTGAGATTAAGAGTCTCTTATGGTTTGTCTCCCTCCCCTGTCCCATCTTATTTCATTTTTTCCTCCCTTTCCCCAATGACCCCCCGCCCTGCCTCTCAAATTTAATATTTATTTTTTTAAAGATTTTATTTATTTATTTGACACAGAGACTAAGTAAGAGAGAGAACACAAGTAGAGAGAGCACCAGAGGCAGGAGGAGAAGCAGACTCCCCATGGAGCAGGGAGCCCAATGTGGGGACTCAATCCCAGGACCCTGGGATCATGACCTGAGCTGAAGGCAGATGCTCATCCTACTGAGCCACTCAGGCACCCCGATGTAATATTTAAAATAAGTTGATTCTGTAGACTTCTAGCATAAATAAAAAATGGCATAAGTAAGACATTGAGCATATATTATTGAAAAACAAGCACAGATATTTTGTTTTGAAAAAGTGCTATATATATATATCCACTATTTTAAAAAAAATGTATATTTTTATGTTTAATATTTAAAAATCACTTTGTTGGGGCACCTGGGTGGCTCAGTTGATTAAGGGTCTGAATCTGGGTTTTGGCTCCATTCCTGATCTCAGGGTCATGAGATTGAGCCCCCCATTAGTCTAAACCCTCAACATAGAGTCGGCTTGTCCCTTTCCCTATCCCTCTGCTCCTCCCAACATCCGTGCTCTCTCTCTCAAATAAATAAAAATCTTAATAATATATAAAAAATAAAGTAAGAATCACTTTGTCTTTTTAACTGAAATGGTAATTTTTTTTGTCATTTCAAGGACAAATATTAGCAATACCAATCTCATTCCAATAACGGATACTCACGATTTCCTTTACCCTATTAATCAGGGTTCAGTGTGTAAAAGAGGAACTAATATAGGTATTTTAATAAGAAAGGAACTTAATTATCGTAATTAGATGTTTCCAAAGTTCTTGAAAGATTGGAGGAGCAGATTCAAGTCTGAGGCTGCCTGAATGACTGCCAGAACCCTGCAGCATAGACCAGTGAGGGAAATCTCTACCCTTGGGGAGACAGGAATCTAGAATTAGGAGCACTGAGTTCAAGAAACTCCTAGGATAACTGTGACCCAGCCGCTAGGAAGCCAGAATCAGAAGCTGTTGCCCACACTGTCACAACTGCCTCTTAACTCCCACACTGAAGAATGCACACTGGAGCAAAAATGTGGAAAAGCCCTGTGTCTCCATGATCTTGCTTGCCAGGAGCACCAGGAAGATGGCCTCCCCATTACTTTGGTCCTGATACCCTGCCAGTGCATCGAATTAGAACCCGAACTCTAACTGTAAAGGAGTCAGGAAAGGAACACTTTAGCTTTCCATCTTCTGCTGTGTGCTAGTTGACCACATCCAAGCATCACCTTCTTCCTTAGAATCACCTAGTACATGTCTACCTTTCCTCCTTCATCTTTGATACTGTGAGACAATTGTGGGGTGGTGGAGTACAATGACCAGGAAAGAAATCTTGAGACGTTTTAGGGTGCAACTTAGTAAATTTAGTTAAACCGCAAGGAGACAACACCCATGGGCAGAAAGGGCTGCACTTTTGCTGTATGAAGCTGATGGTTACATGTTTAGTGCTCAAGGGGGGAGGGAACATGCAGGAAAATTAGATCATAAATGTCTTCTTTGAATTTCTATTCATGAAACTACTTTTGCAAGATTTCTCTGGTACTTATCATTCAGTTTAATTTTGGCTATCGATATGATGTACAGGCAGTCATGAGACCTGTTAAGAACGTAGCCACCAACATGTATTTGATCCTTATCAAAACTATGCTGGCTATAGGTCAGCCTTCTGGGTGAAAAGTAAACATTTTTCTGCTCTTACCAAGACTACATTTCTCCTCCTACTCTCCCATCCTGCCAAGTGCACTTTCACACTCACATGTTTCCCATTTACCATATCCTTCAAGGGCCAGTTAACACATCACCTTCACAGTGAAACCATCCCTGAATTCTTTCTTCAGCAGACTCAACTGTGTCTTTCTCTGGCCCTTATAACATTTTGTGGACTCACTGCTATAGTATACAAATTTACATTATAATTTGTTATTTTTCTTTCTACCAAACTGAAACATTCAGACTGTTCTCAATGTCTAGTCCAGTGTCTGGTTCAGAGTGAATAGATGTCAATGGAGTAGGTGACAAATAATGAGACTGACAGGTTATTATTCTCTGGAGCTTTAAAAAATAAGAAGAATATTCTTATAAGGCACACAAAATTATGTTGGGGACTCTTCATTATATCCCAAGGCTTCTATTATCTCTATAGTCCTCTTGATATTTAAAAGGAAATCAGTTTAATAAGAAGCTCCCCTAGTTCAGGTTGAGGAGGCACTTTCCCATGCAAGAAGAGAGAAATCTATCAGCCATTTTGCCTTGTTTCCTGTGAGTATAGTCTCATCTGAGAAAAGAGACATGTGAGAATCTACCCTCTCAACCTAACTTCAACCCAGCAATCTGAGAGGAAATACAGGGTTTGGCAAAGCTAAATGCCTCAGATTGAAGCCTTTTGGACATGAAAAGACAGCTAAACCTCAGAGATTATTAGTATACTTAAAACTTGTTTTTTGTGCAAACCCAACATCTATGAAGATGGGAAGAGAGGAGAGGATTGGCAATGAAGAACAGAGGTCCTGCTGGCACAGAATTCATGGAATGGAAGTGAGGCAGGCCAAGAAAACCAGGGCTTCTAGACCAGGAGGGCCTGGACATTGTGAGAAAAATCCTAACCTTTTCCTTCCTTATGCTGGCCTCAGATAATTTTCTGACAACTCTTGTGCTTGACTAGCAGTTCAATAATGCTGATTTCTCTGAAATAAAAAGAACAATAGGCCAAGTAAATCTTATAGATTGGATATTTTAACTTTGGGTAGTTATCTAAATAACTTGGTGGAGGCTGTGGTAATTATGCATCTACCCCCAAATTAAAGCTACAAACTATTCAATTATTTTTCCTTGTATATCTATGTAAGCAACTATTAAGATATAACATTTTCTATTCCTATGTGACATGTAAGATATTTTGCTTCCCATGGCTCCAATTATTGTTATCTTTCTTTCTGCAGGTTGCTTCTAAGTTATGCAGATTCTCCCCTGCCCCACAAAAGAACTCACTGCATTTGACGTGGTAAGGCAAACAGCAAAGCAGTACTAGGTTATTTTCCTAAGCTATATGTTTAAGGGAAGGGATTTGCGGGGGAGGGTTCTTGATTTTTTTATCTGCCAACTGGAAAACGTTCCTCTTCTATCCAGTTTCCACCGAGGAATTGCTGATCTGAAGGTCAGTTTATTTAGAATTCTATTGTCATAATAAAACACTTCCCAGCAGGGCTGCCTGGGTGGCTCAGAGGGATAAGCCTTTGCCTTCAGCTCAGGTCATGATCTCGGGGTCCTGGGATTGAGTCCCACATCGGGCTCTCTGCTAGGCAGGGAGACTGCTTCCTTCTCTCTCTCTCTCTCTCTCTCTCTGTGATCTCTCTCGGTCAAATAAATAAAATCTTAAAAACAAACAAACAAACAAACAAAAAACACTTCCCAGCAAAGGTCTATTCATATCATTAGAAGGACAGACCTGAGTCACCTAAAAATTTTCACATACAACTGCTATTCTGATATTCAAGTTTTGGTAATAAAATAAATGCTAAAAGCTCAGAGCATGCTTTTAAGAAATGCCTGAATAGCTCCACACCTGACTAATCAAAGGAGAAGGTTGCTTGTCTAGTCTTAAATTCAAGAGTGAAGTTATTTCTTTTAATTAATATGTATATTTTTATTTTATCAAAAAACCGGGGCGCCTGGGTGGCTCAGTGGGTTGAGCCGCTGCCTTCGGCTCGGGTCATGATCTCGGGGTCCTGGGATCGAGCCCCGCATCGGGCTCTCTGCTCGGCAGGGAGCCTGCTTCCTCCTCTCTCTCTGCCTGCCTCTCTGCCTGCTTGTGATCTCTGTCTGTCAAATAAATAAATTTAAAAAAAAAACAAAAAAAAAACAAACCAATGTTGTAATAAGTCAATTTTGCTCAGCCATAGTTTTTTAAATGTATTTAAAACTTTTTTTACTAACCATTTTGAAATACTTTCAGACCTTTGAAAAAGTTACAAAAAAAGAATATGAAGAATTACCATATGCTCTTCATCCAACTTACAAATGTCAACATTTTATGTAACCACAGTACCATTTTTTTTTTCCACAGTACCATTTCAAAGCAGGAAATTAATTTGACAAAATACTACCCAGTAATCCACAGACCTTATTCAGATTTTGTCATGTCCTACTAATGTATCTTTTTTCGCTCAGGATCCAGTCCAAGATTCTGCACTGCATTTAGCTTTCATGGTTCATTAGTTTTTAATCTTTAAAAAAAAAAAAAACCTTCAATTTTTCTTTGTCTTTCATGACTTTGACTCTTTGAAGAGAACTGGTCAGTTAGAATGTTGCTCAGTTTGGGTTTGTCTGATCATTTCCGCATGATTACATTCAGGTTACACATTTTAAGCAAGAATGTCACAGAAGTGACATTGTGCCTCTCAAGGCATCCTGTCAGGAGGAACATAGTTGATGTGTTCCCATCACTAGTGATGCTAATTTTGATGACTTAGTTAAGGTGATATCTGCCAGCTTTCATTTCATCACTGAAAAGTTATAGTCTTCCCTTTGAAATTAATAAGCATTTAATGAGGTGATACTTTGTTGTTGTTATTTTTATTTTTTTATTTTTTAATTTTTTAAAAAAGATTTTATTTATTTATTTGACAGACAGATCACAAGTAGGCAGAGAAGCAGGCAGAGAGAGGGGACGGGAAGCAAGCTCCCCGCTGAGCAGAGAGCCCAACGTGGGGCTGGATCCCAGAAGCCTGGGATCATGACCTTAGCCGAAGGCAGAGGCTTTAACCCACTGAGTCACCCAGGCGCCCCTGTTGTTGTTATTTTTAAAAAAGATTTTATTTATCTATTTGCCAGAGAGAGAGAGAGTGCACAAGTAATGGGAGTGGGAGGCAAAGGGAGAAGCAGGCTCCCCGCTGACAAGGAGCCCAATGCAGGTCAGGACCCTGAGATCATGACCTGAGCCAAAGGCAGACACTTGACCTGAGTGAGGTGATACTTTGAAAGTATATAAATATTTTGCTTTTCGTCATACTTTTGCCTGCTTATTTTAGGGTCCATTAATTATCTCTGCCTGAAATAATTATTACTATTATGTTTGCCAAATAGATATTTTTTATTTCCATCATTCCCTCTACATTTATTAATTGGGATACTACTGTAGGGAATAGTGAATTAGTTATTTAGTTATCAGTTTGGCTTGACTCTCTGGAGACTATCACTTAGGAATGGTTTGAGAATGAGAGATAACACAGTGACCGTTGGGTACTATGTTCTTTATTCCACCCCATAAGAACTACTGCTTTTGTACTATGTGTGCAGTCAGATTGTGGGGAGAGGGTCTGGAAGAGAGCTCATGTGTTTTTGTGGGGAGGACCTAGAGGACATCTCTCATTATGAATCTGTTTGCATACACTCATCTGCATCGAGGGCAGACATCTTTGCAAGAAAAAGACATTGAACTCCAAGAAAGCATATACAACGTGGGTGATGGACTGGCAGGGTCCTCCCAGGAGCCAGAATTTTGGAAGGAATAATGTGGGGCATGAGCGCAATAGGAGCACCTTAGAAGAGAAGAGGGGGCCTGATCAGGGAAGTCAGACCCAGTAACAGAGCTTCAGAGAGGGGGGAGATTTTAGATCATTGGGGTCCTATACTGCCGCTCCTGAGCATCACCCAGAGGGAGTATTCTCCTTCTCACTTTGTAAGACCGACATTTGGACCTCTCACCTCAAAGACAACACTTCAGTTCCAACTCCACCAGACCAGTGACACTAGAGGTAGCTCTAGGCATTGTTGAGTTTTTGTTCCACCAGTATTCAGGGGACAGCCATGGGTGCAGGGGTGATTTTAGTGCTGGCTATCACTTTTATGGAACCATCAGCCCCTGAGGTTGCAATCCTAGTCAAACTCACCAGAATGGCAAGCAATGGACATTACTGACTCATGGATACATGGGAGATCCCCAAGGATGCTAGCAAATTTCCAGAAATAAAAACTCTGTTAAAAACTGGGTCTCTTACAGAGAATTGAGCAAGTGGGAATGAGGTATAATTGATTAATTAATATCAATAGGGCTTCATTGTAACTGTTGTCTTAAGATAATGAGGCACCAAGATCTAGGGTTAAAACAATAACTTGGCCTCGTCTGCTTGGTCTTCAGAGCACACATATGAGCCATTTCCAACCCATGAAATAAGGAGATCTTCATGAAACACTGTCTTCCTGTTGCAAATGAATAATAGTAATTGTGTCATCCTTATTCAGATCTTTTTCTTCTACATAACTTTAATTGTGCTAATCCAAGATCTGAATGATGAACTTCAAAAAATGTATAAGTAACCCAGAAGCAATTATGGCTACTATGCTGCTGAGTGCCCATCTACCAGAAAAATCTAACATGGGTTAAGGCAAGGACAATCATGACTGAAAACCTTTATCTTTCAGTAGCTTGGAAAATTCCAGAGATGAAGTAAAGTATCTGAGGAACAGGTTCCAAAGGAGCATGAGATTGACCATTTTGTGAGCATGCTGGGTGTCTTCTCTTGCTTTTCTAGGTCCATTTTCCATCCTTCCCCATTACTTTGTGATCAGGAGGCTAATCAGTAGTCTCCCTCCCACTCAGGTTTCTGGGTACATTCAGCCAATGGAGAGTGCTGGCAGGAGATTGGAGGGAGGGTAGAGAGGGTCACCTTGCTTAGTCTGCCAGTTCTCGTCCCTGCTGGGAGGCAGTGGTTTTGTTGTGTCCTTGGTTGAAGATCACAGCTCTTGCTAGGTGGCCCTCTCCATTCAGGTCTCTCAGTTGGGGTTCTAGAAACAGTTCTACCCCTTGGCCCTTTAGGTGTAAGCATAAGGTAGATTCCAGCTGCTGCTAGACTGAGGGCACAGGCAAAGAGCTCTCTAGGAAGAGTATCAAGAGTAAGGCAACAATGGACACTGGTGGGCAGACTGGCTTGATGAATGAACACTGGGATCCATCTCTCCTCCTTTTCAGGATGTAGAGAATGAACAGGTTCCTCAAGCAGACATTTTTGCTACTTCCTATAGGGTAAATATTACCAGTGAAAACTCTACTGATATTTTTCATCTATTGCACTAGCAAAAATGAGAAGTTTTGATAAAACTGTTGGCAAGAGTCTGGGGTAATAGGCACTCTTGCATGGCTGGCAACAGTGTAATATTCTATTACATTAAAAAAAAAAGCCAAGTGCAGTATTTTAATGCTTTCATAAAAAGGGGGTAAAAAATATATGTACATGTTTGCTTGTTATGGGAGGCTGATCAGTAGCTGGAAGGCAGGATTGGAGCAGCGGTTTTTCACTGTATACCTTCTTGAGCAACCTGACCTCATGCACTAATTTTTTTTTAACCATAAAATTCAAACTCAGGGGTGCCTGGGTGGCTCAGTTGGTTAAGCATCCAACTCTTGTTTTCGGCTCAGGTCATAATCTCAGAGTCATGAGATCAAGCCCTGCAGTGGGCTCCGTGCTCAGTGGAGAGTCTGCTTGAGATTCTATCTTTCCTTCTCCCTCTGTCCCTTCTTCCCCTGTAGGCACACACTCTCTCTCTAAATAAATAATTAAATATTTTTTAAAATTTCAAATTTAAAAAACAAAAGAAGTAGTAGGAGGAGGAGCAGCAGCAGTAGCAGCAGCACCTTTAGCTGAAGACAGGACACTGCTTTCCTACCCCACTGGAAGTAGCACTGGCCCCCCCAGTACTGGAACTGCAGGAACAGAAGGGCCTCAGGAACAAAAGGGCCCAGGTGTTAAACCCACACCCTGTTTGGTGGCCACATTAGTGATAACTGGATAAGCAAGACCTGGCCTAGACAGGAATCAAAGACAACACTTTGGACCAGGCCTGGCACTAGGTGCTATGAGCAGAGGGGCCAACTGTCCCAAGCTAGAAGAAATGAATAAGACTTGGTTGCATTTCAGTCAGATTGGGAATGGACAAATCTGTTCTGATTGGTAATTTGGAAAAAGCAGACACTGAAGGTGGTGAGTTCCAAAGGCTTGGTGCCCTTGAGTGGATAAACTTCTAGGAGCAGGGTTTTCCCAGGGTGGTTCTCCCCAGTCCCCCCCCCCCCCCCCCCCCCCGCCAACCATGCTTCATTGACGTTCCACTTAAGCAGATGAAGAGGCACAGGCATAAAGGAACCCCAGCCTAGCCCAGATCATGTTGGAAACAACTCATTTCATAAATGCTCTCCACTAATGAGTGTGGGGTTTAAAAATGACTCCAAGCTTGATGGGCCAGAAATAGTACAAGGTGGTGGTTCCTACTCTTTTCACCCAGACTCTGATCATTTAGTCAATGATTTAATCATTTTCCTGTCTCAGCCTGTTTTGATATTAGGATTTCTTTGCTTCAGTTGTTAAGTTCCTTTACCAAACAGCTCATCACTCACAGATCGGTGAAGAGCTATTCTCTGCTTGTAACCTTGAGAATGGGGTGAGGGGAGGCAGGTATTTCGGAAATGACACAACAGAATGTAAAGCCATGAAACAAGAGAGGGAGACTCAGATGAAATTACAACATACATCTGAGAATTGGACTAAAAATTACTAAAAGGCACACACATAGATGTTTTTATTGTTCTGTTTTCCTTTGTTGGTTTTCATGCTTTCAGTTTTCCCAACTTAGCCATGGAAAGTAGTTTTGTTGTTTTGAGTAAACTCTACCCCCAACATGGGGTAAAACTCACAACCACCTCAATTTCCTATAAGATTTTTAGTTTTTAGGGGCACCTGCATGGCTCAATTGGTTAAGTGTCTCCCTTTGGCTCTGGTCATGATCCTAGAGTTCCTCTAGGACAGAGCCCCCACTTCAGGCTCCCTGCTGAGTCTGCCTCTCCCTCAACCCCTTCCCTTCCCCCCGTTCCTTCTCTTTCATTCACTCTATCTTTCTCAAATAAATAAGATATTTTAAAAAAGATTTTCAGTTTTTAGAAAATAAGTAAACAAAACCAGAATCTATCATACTAGTACCACAAAGGTTAGTTTCTGGGCCCTTTCTTCACTAAAATATAAAGCCTATATATACACATATATGTGTGTGTATGTTTGCATAGAAATACAAATAGGTGATCCATAGATCATGGGCTGGTAACTGCTGGGGATCCTAAAGGTCAGTGTCTTCATTTCACAGATTAGAAGATGGAGGTTTAAAAGAAGTAAAAGGAGAAATACAATGAACCAGCTGGAATTCAAACTCAGACCTTCTAGCTCCAAATTAAGGGCTTCTCCACTTGTGAAGTACTCCTTTTAAGGAGGGATTTTCTTTCTTTTTTTTTTTAATATTTTATTTATTTATTTGTCAGAGAGAGAGAGAGAGAGAGAGAGAGAATGCACAAGCAGGCAGAGTCACAGGCAGAGGCGAAGAGAGAAGCAGGCTCCCCGCTGAGCAAAGAGCCAGATGCAGGACTCGATTCCAGGACACCGGGATCATGACCCGAGCCCAAGGCAGCAGCCCAACCAACCTAGCCACTCAGGCGTCCAAGGAGGGATTTTCTGAGGGAGTTTTTAAATACTGTGGTTTCTCAATGGTTTTTGACAAATGCCAATACCTGGTATTCTTTTGGCAGGGACACGGGAACAGAAATGGTGGAGGAGTTACTGTTTATTTCCAGTAGCACATGGGGAAAAAAAAAAGGAGCAGGTTTGGACATTCACTTATTTATCCTTTTACTGAGTACCTACTCAGGCAGGATTGTGTTAGGTTCTGTGAGAAATGAAAGATGGATAAAAATAATAATGTGTAAAGAAACTCGAAAGAATATTTACAGTAAGATCCTAGAGTGATTGGGAGAGGAGTGAGTAAACTTCAAATATACACCAAAATGTTAACCAAGAAGTGGGGGTGGGGGGGGGGGAGTGGAACAGCATGCTGGGGAGGGAGGGGGATAATTAAGGACTACTCTCTCCTACCTCCCGTTTGGGGATGGGGGTTAATTTTAAATTTCTGCATTCTGCATGACTAACATGCATTACTTTTGGAATAAGGACGGAAAGTTATTTTCAGTTTTGAGAATTGACTAAGATATGCTTGGTGAGTTTGTCAGAGCCAGGTGGGCTGTGCACAGGTGTTCTCCAGCCCTAGGCTACAGTGTCTTTAGTGGTCTCAAGTCTCCCCCAAAGCTGTGGCTTCCAGGAAGCACTGACTGGATGTGAGCATGAACAGGGAAGGCATTGTTCCTGTATTCACATGACCCTCTCTTACCCCATCTGCCACCTCTTGGACAGCAGACACTTTGCACTAATTTTCATGGTTACAATACTTGTTCTACCTGTCCATGCTAAATAAGGGCCAAACTGCTGTCATTGGAACAGCTTGGAACAACAGGGACATGCTCATTGGTTACCCAAGGAAGAGATAAATGAGAGTCAAAAACATTTTTAAAATATTTTTTTTAGCTTAGAGAGTGTAATTGATTTTTTTTTTTTGAGAGGTCAGCAGTGTTAAATCTCATACAAGCATTTCAGTTTAGTGAGGGCAACTCCGTCCATTGTATACAGGGAAAAACAAAGCTCTTGAAACAACAGGAAACGTTTAAGCATGCTTTATGTTATCTTGTTCTTGAACTTTGACATTATAGTATTATTAGAAACATTGTGTGTACAGTGAAAGTCTTCTAATTTCAAAAAATGAAACCTGCTGTATGTTTTGCTGTCCTTGGTTAAAATAATTTACTGGTAGTGCTCCTGGCCTTCTTCAGTCCCTCTGTGATCTGAATTCAGCAAGAGGAGTCAGCATTTGGGGACAGAGAGGTACAGCAATTGTATCATAGAGCATCCAGATTGACACACCATCCCAAAACAAGATAATTGAAACAAACTACTATTTTTAAATAAAAGATTTTCATGTTCATAAAAAATGTTTGACTCTTCACAAGAATTCTTGCATTTTATTGTTATTCTTTATCTTAAATTTTTATTTATTTATTTATTTGAGAGAGAACGCACAAGCAGGGGGCAGGGGCAGAGAGGAAGAATCTCAAGCAGGCTCCATGCCCAGCACAGAGTGTTGATATCATGACCTGAGCCAAAATCAAGGGGCAGAATCTTAACTGATTGAGCCACCCAGGCATCCCTCCTTATCCTAAATTTTAAAACATAGCTCTGATTTTGAATTAAATATTTCAGAGATAAGAATCATAAGAAGTAACCCAATGAGACCATTCACTTTGGAAAATTCTCCACAAGGGAAACAATGCTTAGAATGTATTCTGTGAATCTCATTTGCTTAAGTGCTCTTGAATGTAGACAAAAGCTGGTGAATAATGATAGTTTTATGCCTCTGGCATGGGAACATTCATCAGGCCAGAAATAAGGACTTTTGTCATAGGCTCCCAGGACTAAAAAGGCAACAGTCTTTTAAAGATTTGTCCTTTGGGGTGGCTGCTATATCTCTTAGGTACAGCCTACACAATCAGATGTTGGCAGATTCATTCTGATTCTTATGTTGTGACCCTTTATTTTCTTGCTCAGTTAAATGAGTGTTTTAGTGGCAAACCATTGGTGTTAATATAAAGTACTAAGAACCAACAGTTTTAAGAAAAGCCAAGTGTTAAAAGGTTCTAAACCTGTTAGACTACCATAGTAATTCCAGTCTCATGAGACCTGAACCAACCAGCTGATCATCATATAATTTATTAAAACAAAAACAAAACCAAAAACAACAAAACCTAACATAGACAAAATTGCTTTCTGATGTTTGAAGTTATTTCTATTTATTCAGTGTCTGGGGACCTAAATGTGTATCTGTAAAGAAAATATTGCCTTTTTTTCAAGAGAAATCTGCAATTGGAGTCTTTAAAATATCAGCAGAACTGTTTTCAATGATTATTTATCAACTGTACCAATGCTTTTTGTAAACACTTGTAATTTCTGTCATGTAGGTGAAAAAAACACTGCAGCAGGGTTCTGTTATCAAGGCAAAGCACAGCACTGTATTTGACATAACTCCAGCAAATACTGTGCTTTCTTCATAGAACTGGTTGGATTAGTCATATAACGTCCAAAAACACGTTGACAGTTAACCATATCTGCCTAGCCCATAGAGAAAGCATGGAAATTTCAAGTCCCCACAGAACACTTTGCAGTGTTCAGAGAACAGTGGGCATTGCTAGTTTGATTCAAGGCAGCTGGTGGCACAACCTACCTTAGGGAAGAAAAGGGCTTCTGATGTACAACATACACAGAAACTTGGCCTCATAGATTCTGCACAGTGTGTCTGGTTGAATTCATCAAATAACTCTACAACAGTGTGGAATAAAGTCTTAGAAATGCTTAAAACAGTTTGAGGACCCAGATAAGTAGAGAGAAGCAGCAGAATGGTTTGCAGACATGGAAGACTGTTTCAGAGCCACATAATAAATATAGCTCATAGATTCTGCATCTTAATGCGTGTGTGTGTGTGTGTGTGTGTGTGTGTGTGTGTGTGTGAGTGAAGAGGCCTATTTTCTAGAGGGAAGAGGAGATTCTGATCCTGTCTCCCTGGAGATGTTTCCCCAGGACATCAGGACAGTGAGTGGGAGACTGCTTGAGGTAACCAAGATACGAAGATGGAACAATTTAAAAGAAAGAATGGATATCCTACGTTAACAGGAAGTGCTCAGGAAGAAGGTAGGCTGAATTTAGAACGGGTGGGCTGGTGTCCTAAGGAATTTAAAGTCAAGAGGTAGAACAAAGGATGGTGTGTATCAGCCTGTTCCCCAGGACAGGGAGGGACATCCATCCACAGAGTGGGGTCAGTGAGACTTCTGAGTATTGAGATTCTCACAGTGGGCAAAACTCCGTGGTGAGTTTGCTTATCTGGGAAAGGCAAAACTCAGAGTCCTAATTCAGGAGACCGCAGAATGATTTCAGTAGGAGGAAGTGGTGGGAAAAGGGAAGGGGCCATGAGCCAAAGATGGATGACCATCTGCCAGGTGCTATCCCAGTGGCATTCATCTTCCCTGGCAGTGTGAGTAGAGAGAGTAAATCCAAAACATATTCTGTAATGTCCCTTCTCTTCCACCCAGAATACAATAAAAATTTTTTCTTCTTTTTCTATGAGGCTGGTCAGCAATGGACTGTATGGGTGAGTCAGTGTTGTTTTTTTCCTTGGGTGGTTGGAATTAGCTTAAAAGATGGGTGCCTAGTATGGTGGGAAAGGTAATTATCCCACCTCTGTTCTTGCCATGGCCGGTGAGTAGCTAGCCAGTAGACTTGGGTTGCATCTTCTCCCTTGTTCTCCTTCTTGTTCTCCTCCTTGTTTCAGAGCTCACTCTTGAGTACTTTTGGTCTGGTTATAGATGGACTTTGGAGCATTTGTTCGGAGGAGAGTTTTCCCAGGTAATTTTTACTTTAAACAGAATACATTATACATTTTGCTATGCTTGGAGGCCTCTCTCCCTTGACATAAATGCCTGGGACCCTTGTAGCCCACATCCCCCAGGGCCACACATCAGTAGCACAGGTGTGGCTTCAACAGTGATGTTCAGGTACCTAGTGAAGAACCATCTTTGTAAGAATAGTGGGATGGCAGAATCCATGATGAGGGCTCCTGTGCAGAAGCTTTGCAGTGGTTGCTGAATATCAAAAGGGAGACATATGCTTTTTCTTTTTGTGCTTCCCAAGATAGGCTCTTAGGATAGAGATGGTTAAGAAGAAGTACAGTTAAGAAACAGGATTTTTAAGTTCTTGTAACAGCTGGTTTATCATCTTTTCTGGAACTCCCTCATCTTCTTCGATGTGAAATTTGCTGTTTCCTATATAGGAATGCAACTGTGGGAGGAAAAAAGTACAGAAATCTGGCTATTTCCTGCCCCACCCCCACCCCGCCAAAGACACAGAAGGGCATCTAAAATTGCTGAATACTTCTTTAGACATCAAAGAACTGAGGAATGTTGAGAGGGGACTGACAGCAAATGGGCTGATGAAGGTATTAAGGACTGAATGTTTGCATCCCTTTGCTAAGTTTGTATGTTGAAATCCTAACCCCCAATGTAATGGTATTAGCGGGTGGACCCTCTGGGAGGTGATCAGATCATGAAGATAGTACCCTCCTAGATGGGATTGGTACATTTCTAAGAAGAGGCACAAGAGTTTGGTCTGGCTCTGCTTTTTGCCACAGGAGGACACAATGAGAAGTCAGCAGTCCTCAACCTAGAAAAAGGCTCTCACTAGAAGTTGGCTGTGCTGGCATCTGGATCTTGGATTTCCAGCCTCCAGAACTGTGAGAAATATGTTTCTTTTGTTTATAAGCTACACAATCTATGGTATTTTGTTGTAGCGGCCCAAACTGACTAAGACAAGAGGTGATAAAAAAAATTTTTTATAGTAACAAGGTGTTCAAAACCCTTGCTTTTTTATTTGATGAATATAACTTCTTAGCAGAATGAAAGAAGGAACAATTGAATTTAATTTAATAATCAGTTAAACTTTTTAACTAGCTTGCTAAATAAAATTACCTACTAGGGAATGAGCCAAAGGAGTAGTGGCAAAATATATTAGAAATGTATTTTTTTAAAAACAAATATGCACAGCATAAAAGCATTCCGATTTTTTCAAAATGGCATCCAGTCACGTTAAGTGAACTATTACCATTTCCAGGGAGATTACTTCTTATGGCTGCACAATGAAATCTTGTGCTTATTTAGCAGATATATTGAAGACCCCAGACTCTGCTTTTGATTTCCATGAAGAGAGATTAATTTCCCCAAGGACAGGATGGACACATATAATAAATTGGCTACAACTCTTTATAAAACAGACCTTTCATATATCTGTAATAAAATTACTTACCATCATGAGTAACTGCATTTGCTTGAAGTAAATTCTTAATATTAATGGATGGAAAAAATATTCCATAAATTTTAAATAGTGAATATATATATTTTGAGTATTCTATCAAAATATTGGAATTCACACATATTATATATGATAACTCTTTAGTAATAAGATTTTTAAAAACTTTTATTATGGAAAATTTCAAATATATAGAAAAGAAGAGTAACTAGTGTAGTGAACCTCATGTACTCATAACCCAGCTTCAACAAGTATTGATTCATGGGCAAAATTGTTTCACCTCTATGCCCACTGACTGACTTACACCCTCTCCTCTCAGTGGTTTTTTTTGAAGCAAATCCATGCCATGATATTGTTGGAAGAGACACTCTTTTCTGGGCCTCTTTTGTTCCTAAGGATCTTTCTGGGTGGGTCAAGATTACAAGGCCCTGACAGTTCTTTTACCAGGGCCCATTTCTCAGGGTTGATTATGTACTGGTAACCTTAAGAAATGAGTTCTCTTTCCCATCCCACCCCCCACATTCTATCCCTAGCCCAGTTAAAGAGCAGCTTTGCTTACTGCTTGCTATAAAATTAGTGGGTTCCTGAAACTCAGTGCTACTCCACTGTGAAGCAAGACACTGCATGTGCAGGCCTCCTCTAGACCCATCTCTGTTACCCTGTGGCACTTGAGAGCATGTGAAACTAACACAAATATGCTAAGGTTTGGGCGACTTGTTGTGTCATGAGTAATAAAGTCCCTTGTCTCTGACTCAAGAGTCTTGAATATTCTGCCAGTCTCCATAAAATACTAAGTGGGTAATTTATTAGGTTGTAATTAAGGTAAAGTCAAACCTTAGATCCAACATATATCATTTTATCCATACATATTTCAATATACATTTCTAAAAGATGAGACCTCTTTAAAATAGAGGTAAGTTCTAGAGACCTGCTATATAACATTTTGCCCATTGTTAACAATATTATATTGCACACTTAATATTTTGCTAAGAGGAAAGATTTCACTTCATATGTTCCTACCACAACAAAAAATCCTTTGTAATATTATTATCACATCTAAAAAAAGGTGACCATTCTTTAGTAGTACCGGATATCTCTGACTATATTTAAATTTCCCCAATTGTTTAGTTTGGTTTGGTTTTTTGTTTATTTGTTTGTTTTTTAGAGTGCATTCAGTAGGATCCAAATAATTGTATTGGGTGATTTGAATCTTAAAACAATTTTTTTTGTGGATATATATAACAAAATTTGCAATTTAAACCATTTTTAAGAGTACAATTAAGTGGCATTAATTACAATCACAATGTTGTGCAACCATCATCACTACCTGTTTCCAAGATGTTTACATCTGAGTGATTTGAATCTTTAGCATCTTTTAATCTTTTGATTTTCCTCTCTCTGTTTTTCATTGCAATTTGTCTGTTGAAGAAAATCAGGTCTTTTCTGCTACACAGTTACTAAACATTTTCTACTGTGCAGTTTCCCATAGCTTGGATTTTGCTATTTTCCTAACTGTTTCATGGACTTCCATTAGGAGGCATGGAATGTCTGGTTGTTTCTTTTTTTGTGATGTTAGCAGCCACTCATGATCATCCTCTAGATTCTTTATTTTTCAGGGGTACAAAATGATAATATTCAAATTCTATTTTTGCTTCTTAATAGCTATAATACTTTCACAGGGGAAAGAGTTACATTGTATTCCATTGTATGGGTATTTATTCAATCTGTATAAACAGAATATTTCGTAAATCAAAGATCTTATTTAGCAAACACAGTTTCATTGTGATTGTTTTTCAAACATAGGAGAGGTCTTTTGGTTGCTGTCCTTTGTTATATTCCCACAAAGACTACAGAGTATGCTCAAGACTAAAGTAGTATTTGCAGCAAAGTTAAACACTATTTCTGTATGATAACCTGAGTGAAATTTTCATCCCCCAATATAATTTCTATCTCTAAAGCAGATCTGTTGTTGAAAAGTATCCTGAATTTATTCATCTGGAAAGAAAGTAACCTGAGTATGGACAAGCAACTCCAGCTTTCTTTTCTTCCGCAGAAGAGTAGGGGGAGCTGAGGAATCACCTCCTTCACCTGTGTCCTCTGCTTCTTTTTTTAATGCAGGGATCTAAGATTAAGCACAGTGCTTTTTTCAATGATAGTACGTGGCAGGAGGGCATATCAGAACACTTTCTTAGAGCAGCACTGCAACACATCTGTTCAAGTGAATCAGTTACCAACTCAACTGACTCATTTCACGGGGATAAGAAATTCAAAACCATCATATGGATTGAACCACGTGATGCCTTTGCCACTAAAAATATTAATTAAGCTTTCCTTTTTATCCCCCACCGTAACATCTGTTAACTCACATGTGGCATCCTCTGAAACTTGGGTACACTGAGAATCGTAACAGTTGAAAGGTCATATTACCAAACTTCTTAAAGTTTTGAAATTTGGAGGGACTATTTCTTTCTTTCTCTCTCTTTCTCTCCTCAGTCTCTCTCTCTCTCTCTCTAGAGGGGAAGTCACAAGCATATTTCTGAGTATAATATAATTTTATATTGGCAAAAAACCACTGCTGTTTTCAGATTAAAAGTAAAAGAAAGCAAAGCTGAGTTATGTTAGCAGGGCTTATAGGGAAATAACTTCAAAAGCCCACTTTCCAAATCAAAAAGTGAATGTGGGTACCATGCTATACATGTTTATCAGCGCAATTTGTTTTAGTTACCTATTGCTGTGAAATTAATGACTCTAAAATGTAGTGGTGGAAAACAACACATTTATTATTTTGCAGTTCCAGTGGGTCAGGAATCCAGGAGCAGCTTAGCTGGGGCCTCTCGTTCAAGACCTCTATTGACCTGGGGCAGGAGCTGTGTGCAATGCCATTTTAAGGGTTGAATGGGGAGGAGCCACCTTCAAATTCCGTAGTGTGGCTGTTGACAGAACTCAGAAGATTCATTTCCATGTTCAATCACTCAGGCCTCTCTGCAGGGCTGCCTTTGGACATAGAGGCTGGCTTCTTCAAGAGTAGGGATTTCAAAGAGAGAGGAAGACAGACAGACCGACAGATGTGACATTCATCATGTTTTCCATATTGTGTTCATTAAAAGAATCAGTAAGTCTAGCCCATGTCAGAGGGGAGGGCATTACACAAGAACATGAGTGCCAGGAAGCAGGGATCATTGGGGACTATCCCAGAGGCTGCCTGCTACAGTTTCTTTATTTTGAATGTAAATTTTAAAATAAAAATGCATTCTCATTGTTAGACATTTGAAACGTAGAAGAGGGTATGCAG